TATTCCTTTACTTCTAATATACATAGTATACATACATTCTAGTTAACCGATATACTAGCTAATACCCTCTATCCGATGCCCTCCTGGTACTTCGAGAAGTCACCCCTGACTGCCGAGTTCCTTACGACAGCCCGTCATGGCCATACAACCGGGGCTAAATACGGAGGAATACCCTCCCTAGGGAATTAACTTAGAATTATATACAGGCGCGGAGGAATACCCATACTGAGCTGTTACCATCAGCGGCCCACCTCTCATCCGCAGCATATAACACCAAATAATGATATCCCGTAATCTAGACACCACGTCTAAACTACCAGATACCACTCTGATATCATTGTCAAGACATAGAGTAATTGCAGAAGCAAACATTATACCCGCACCAAAGCATGTCCCAGATAAGCTAGCCGTATATTCAGTATAACATGAACATAATGTAAAGTAGGCATTCATATACTTGGAAAGTATTTCAATACCATAAATGTATATAGAAGAGTATTCTAATAAAAGTACAAAGCTTACAAAAGATAAGAGAAAAGCTACTAGAGCCATACCCGAACTTTTCCGAAGACTTCTGGACTCCTGATTTCTACTCTATTCCTATTCCACCAGCTAGATACTACTAAACTAAACTTTGAGAGTATGAGAAAGCTTGCTTGAGGTGTGTGAGTGAAGTGAGGAGAGGAACTCCTTAAATAGGCTGCCAATGACGGTTGTGGCAGTTGGAATGGTCAAAATTGCCCTCCAACCGTCATCGGGGAGTGATCCACGCCGTCCAGCCGAAACCTGGATCCAACTGTGCTAAGGAGGGTTCGGCTGGCGGCCTTCTCTGTTGCTTCTCTTCGCAGACTTGTGAATTTTGGCCCAATTCATCGTGTCAATTCTGAGTTCTTGGCCCATTCATACATAAGTCTAATTCTCGACATTGTCCGATTAATTTATCGTCTATGTTGATGTCGATTCTCCTCCACTTTATTGTCATTCTCTGCAAAAAAGGTTAGTAAACCTAATACTAGTGGAATATTATTATTCTAATATATATATATGCATTGCAAGCATCACTAGTTCTCTATTTTGGTAATATTGACGGTCAAAATTGGTCGATAATGACCGTCAACACTCTTGAGCCCCACAATCACAACACGACGTCTCCTCTGGTTATCACCCGTGTCGAAACGTGGATGACCTCACCAAGAAGGCTAATCCCTGTTTGCGAATACAACCAAAAATGCAGATGAAAGATTAAGCCCACAAGTTGGGGTCTTACAAACCAATCTAGCAGGGAATCTGTTCTTGACAGAATAATCTAAGCAAAACTCGACTCTAAACTATTACGGCTCCTGAATAAATATGATTAGGGACGTCCTACGGCTGCCCTAGAGTGCACACTCCCTTAGGCTAAGCCCACGACAAAATTACAAGGCCCAAAACCCAAATCAGATTCGAACTGTATGAGGTACGTGGCTTGTTTTGCATATTTCCGGCAGCTCGGTAGGAATTTTGACGTAGGATCAAATCCATCTGAAAGTAGACTCTATAAGCTTTCCAACAAGTTCTCATGAGCCCCAAAATTCCTTCTAGATCAGCGGCTAGGTCCATTTGAAGTTGATGCTGTCAGGAGGCCCGAATCTGAATCCGAAACGTGTAGAACTTTATCTCTTATCTTCTATGGACCAAAAGTGACGTCGTGAGATGGAAGTGTACATGGAGAAGGTCTTGGTTTGGTCCCCAATCAACTTCTTTACTCATCTATGCATTCCTTACGCTCGGTTCTTTCGCCCAAGCAAGTACTTCTACAAACGAAAACACACGAAACTCACTGTGTAGCAACATTTGTTCAAATATATAACAAGTAAACCTAATATAGAACATATGCACATTTGGTTTATTAATACATAAGGTAGTCATGGTTATATCCGAGCTAGTTGTGTCCTCATCATCTTCTCCACATAATGGGACTGCAAGAGAGTAATCCCATTCTCACCTCTAATTAGCTTAATGTTTAGGATAATATCAGCTACTCCCAAATTCTTCATATCGAAACTTTGAGACAAGAATGATTTAATCTCATTTATCACCTCAAGATTTGTCCCAAAAATTAGTATGTCATCAACATACAAGTACAAAATAACTCCCTCACCCCACCATAGCAATGGTATACACATTTATCTGTCTCATTGACTGCGAAGCCTGCGTATATCAATGTTCTATCAAATTTCTCATGCCATTGCTTAAGAGCTTGTTTCAGACCATACAAAGATTTCAACAATTTGCACACCTTGCCTTCTTGACCTTCAACTACAAACCCATCAGGTTGATCAATATAGATCTCCTCATCCAGCTCTTCAATAAAAAAAGCTGTCTTAACGTCCATTTGATGAACAAGAAGTCCATGTGAGACTGCTAGGGAAAGTAGCACACGAATTGTGGTCAATCTAGCAACAGGTGAATGTCAAAGAAATCATCGCCTTCTTTCTGAGTATAACCCTTAGCAACAAGCCGAGCCTTATGCTTTTCAATAGTACCATCAGGCCTAAGCTTCTTGTTGAACACCCACTTGCACCCCACAAGTTTACACCCATAGAGTCGCTCTGTCACCTCTGAAGTCCCGTTAGCAATAATGGAATCCATTTCACTACGGACAGCCTTCTCACAGTAGTCTGCATCAGGAGATGCATATGCTTCTGAAATTGACTTAGGAGTGTCATACACGAGGTACACAGTGAAATCATCGCTAAAAGACTTAGCTGTTCTTTATCTCTTACTCCTCCGAGGAGCTTCATTGTCATCCTCCTCAATGACATGTTCATGCATATGTTTATTTGTTCTGATGGTGTGGTGTGATTGAACAGGGAATTATTTCAGAGGATTGGCTAGAAGTACTATGTGTATCCTTCATTGGAAAAAAAACTCTCAAAGAAGATAGCGTCACAAGACTAATTGTACCAACATGTATGTCAGGTACCACAGATTTAACTATTAAAAATCTATAAGCAATGCTATAATGAGCATATCCTAGAAAGACACAGTCCACAGTCTTATATTTAAGTTTGTGATTCTTCGTTACTGGTACATTGACTTTCGCCAAGCACCCCTTGTGCGCAAGTAAGAAAGTGATGGTTTTCTCCCAATCCATATCTTATGATTCGAGGTCAACAATGTCTCCTCGCACCATGCCTTAGATAGTCTCGCGGTGTCCAACATGACATTCTTCTTTTAAGTTCAAACATTTTTATCCCATTGTCACGCACATGCATTTTTTCTATTTAATATTAAATGACCCATGCAACGCTCAGGTTGACAGCCAGAGGAAGTACCTGCTTACTTCCTCCGTTTCACAATATATAAGTCATTCTACTATTTCTCACATTCATATTTATGTTAATGAATCTAAATAGATATATATGTCTAGATTCATTAACATCAATATAAATATAGGAAATGGTAGAATGACTTACATTGTGAAACGAAGGGAATACATCATTAGCAAAATATTAGACACACTACTTGACATTGAAGATAGCCTCTAATTTACCTCAAAAAATAGAGAAAAAGAAGGTAGTAGCTGCTAGATAAGGTGATGTACTTCCGAGGGACAGAGTCAGCACTAACATTACTTGAGAAACTACTTCTTTGCAAAATAGGAAAGCAGTGATGCTTGTCCAACCGAAGCAGGTTTCGGGCCTTTTACCTTCTTTTTCACATGAACAGGAGATCTGCCACTCTTCTCCATCACTTTATCCGCATGAACTTCATCATCCTCGTTCTTCCTCTTCAATCTTAAAGCATCTTGTTTCTGTGTTGCTTCGTCAGTAAATATAAGGTCGTCATTCTTCATGGTTTTAGCCTTCTCGACATCATGTTCCAAAGTGATAGGTTGATCATTAAATATAGAAGCATCTTGCTCCTCTTCCACTTGGTGCTGGTACGTTTTATCCAATTGGTTTTCTGCTGATTCATGCCATTCTTTGTTTGCAGCTCGAAAGGCTTTTGTTTCTGCGTGATCCTGATCTTTCTTCTCTGATTTCACTGGTTTCTTCATGAAGAATGTCGAGATTGGCTTTTCACTGGGTCTCATCTGTACCTGCATTTTGAAGTGGAACAAAACTAATCATTGCACATCCTTTTGCTTTACAGAAAACACAAAAAGAGGAAAGCTAAGAAATTACTATCCAGTGAAGTCGAATTGATAGGCACCACGCAAGGACATGGCATCATCTTATCAATGCAGCGTCAACAACAGAAAACAAGAAAAAGCTACTGCTTAATTGTATATACTTCACATATTGTACTTTTTGATAGCTCTCATTTTAGAAGTAAGAAACCTGTAGATCTTTCATTCTTATCATTTATGACATCATGAGCATTTTATATTTAACGGAGGTATTCAAGGTACATCACTGAACCACATTTACATGTTATCTGAATCACTCCATCAGGTACAAGCGTGGATCCACCATAGAATCATTGAGGTGGTCATGTGGCCCTAATGACTATTGAAAGTGCAGTTGAAAAAAAATGTAACTTTGTATATTAGCGACAGATTATAACACATCTGAGAGTATGCTACAGCTGATGATCACACGACTACCCGCCAAATACAACAATTATGGGTGTCATAGAAAGTCAAAATTTCTGTATAATTTACTCTCACCATTCAGTAAAACTCAATTTCTTGAACTTCACAAAAACAATTATTTGACAGAACAAAGCAGAGCTTTCTACCTGTTTGATGCACTCAGGACCATCAAAAGATATTTTGCCTATTGCAGCTGTGACGGGATACCAAACCTGCAGAAGAAAATGTTTAAAAAAAATCATAATTTTGATTTGATCATTACCGAGAATCTTAGCCACTGATCTTTGTTCTCTTACTCTCCTAGGTTTCAAATGGGCCAGAGGTCTTAAGAGATTTTCAATTCAGGTCAAAGTGACCATTTGAGTAGCATGCCATCCTCACATATGACTACTGATTTAACGATGCAGAAGCTCACCACATTCATCCCAAACTTGACAAAGTCTTGGTCCAGAAAATTGGACACACAACTTAGCTTCCCCCCAGGAAACTTGTTTTGTGGTTTGGCAGCGGCTCCAAATGACGCAGTGTGACCGAGTCCTCAATGGGAGGGCAAGGCTTAATCCCTTGCCACCTAAGGGCCCTTTTATGGAAATGCGAATAGAGAACAGAGGAGAATGTTAATGGAAGCTCGCTCCTTGATTAACAAATGAATCTTGCCTTCCATCCTCTTTTATAGGACTTTGTCTGAACAAACTTAATAACCTCAACTGTCTTGAACAAACCAAACCTAAACTGAGAGAAAACTGATCCTGAAGCAGCACAATTCAATCGCAGTGCAGGTGACTTGTTCGGTTGCTTCCTGCGCTCAGTGTAGGCGATTCCCCACATAAGAACTTGCAATAACTAATTGTTCCTATGGCATGTGCAACCTACTTAGGAAATAGTTTGGTATGTTTGACCTCTGGTCAAAATTTGTCTTTGCTACTTCAGCCGTAATAGTAGACGCTAACTCATGCAGGGAAGTAGATCAATCAGACTGTCATAAATACCTCGACAACTGCTATTCTAGCTTTTTACATGTCTCTTGAATGAAAGAACATTCCTCTATGCTTTGCTTCAATCTCTTCTCGGCAACTTTAGTCCAATAATGAAACCAGGAATCAGCCTCCCTCTAGTATTGGATACCATGAAAATAACAATATGCCCCCCTCCCAAAAAAAAAAAAGAAAAAGAGATTGTTTCGTACAAGCATCATGGATAAACTTGCCTACGTAGGAAGTCACACATCGTTAGGACCCACCCGGATAACTTAATGCTTCATGAGCTCGGATGCTACAAATATTTTCTACAAAGACCATGGATGAAGGCAAAGAAACAAGCAAAAGAAACTGAGAGTCCAAAGGAAAAGTACAATGAAGTTCTAATCCTCGAGCTAAGATGAAGCAAGACAATGCAAGTCTCGTGAAATTTGCTTTATGTTCATGCACATGTATAGCATGATCTAACTTTGATTCATAAAAAAATGAACATTTTGATCATTACCTAAATACAGCAAGCTAAAGAGGCTAAAGCTATCAAGGAAATGTTGGAGCAAAGCATAGAGGGATGTTCTCTGATACGACAAAAAGCAAGAGCAGTTGTCCAACAATAAGAAAGGTACTCATAAGAATATGATAGATATACTAATCAAAGTTACAAGAAATTAGCTTTTATTGGCTGAAGTGGTCAAGGAAAGTCCAGAGAATCCCTCTGTGCAATGAATTTTTTTTATTTTTTAGACTTATATTTTTATTTTTTAGACTTATTTTTTTAATTTGATTAAAAGACAATTCCAAAAAGTATTTCCAAATCTAGACCTTTTGGCCACACCAGCCCGCCTAGTGTGGCCAAATAACTTTGTCACGCCACGTGCAGTTTGCGTGGCCGCATTGTTTGGCCACGCCAGCCTCTTGCCACGCCACCATGGCTGGCGTGGCCAAACAACGCTGGCCAAAAGGTTCAGTTTTCGAAAATACTTTTTGGAATGGTCTATTAATAAAATTAAAAAATAAAAAATTTCCTGTGCAAACTCAAGTTGAAAATTAAGAGGCACAAGTGGATAAAGTTATGAAAGAAGTGACTTCAACAAATAATATCTTTAACTCCATCTAGGTAAAGTACTAATACATCCTAACAAGGTTAAGCTAGATCATCATTATGATGATTCTATTGATTTGAAGATTGCTCACAACTTCACACAGTGTTGAAACCAGAGTAAATTTTGTAGCAGAGACAAAGTTTGACATTTGGTGAATGCTACCACATGTACCAAATCACAAAACATGACACATAATTGGCTATGTTGGTAGCTAAAAAGGCCAAGTAGCATTTCGGAAAACTTCCAGATTGGGCATTTGTCGATTTTTATGGTCGGCAATGTAATTTGTAAGGTGCACAAGATCAAGGAGAGATGGTGATAGATTTATACTGGTTCAGGCCCTCGAGTGAGGTAAAACCCTAGTCCATTTAGCATAGATTGGATCTATGTTGAGGTGTGTGCAAATCAGCAATGGTGTGGCTAATGGCGCGTATCAAAGAAAGAGTGTAACCCTTTAGGGTTCCTACCGCCACCCTTTATATAGAGCTAGGGCGGCAGGCGGCGTGCATGGTACGGTATACCTCATAATCAAGGTACCTACCGTCTAATGATATGGGATAGGATAGACTTTCTTATCTCTTATCCCTTTCTATACATTGATGATACCGCTTGGGCCTAGGCCACTTGGCTTACCCTACGCAGTACGGCCCAAAGGCCTCTCGTGGGGCACCAGGGTACCGTGCCCCCCACAATATCCCCCGAGTACTTCGCTTGATGTAGAGTCTGAAGATGACGACGTCGTTCGACAGGATCAAATCCAGCTGAGTACTCACCCCAAAATTTTGGATATAGATTACTTTAGTTGGGTCCGAGTGGAATTGCGAACGGCCGATTTTTCCTTCTTGAAGGATGGAAACTGAACTTATTTTCCAAAATCAGAGTCCTTTCATGGGTCGGCCCGTCAAGAATACCTAATGGCATAAGTACGCCCGACGGGAGTGTTGTTGCTCAACTTTCCCCAAATGGCGTTGCATCCTCCTCATCTGCTACGTTCTCGAGTCAGATTGGGCGAGATTTTCCACCGCCCCACTTCTCTCGCCGAAGCTCTTTGCTTTCCGCGGCCCTGATGTCGTAGTCGATGGCAGAATCTGTGCCAATCCCGAACCAGGCCACCGCCTGGACACCGTCGATGATAGAGGAAGCAGTAGGAGTCCTCCCCCCTGCAGGAGCTCATCAACTGGAGGGAGGCTGTCGAAGAGGACTTCCAAACCCCGAACACAGACGAGATCATGGTCTTCCTCCCCTTCTTCCGGTTCGGCCTCGGTCTGCCTGCCGGCGATTTTCTCCGAGGTCTGCTTCACTTTTATGGCATTAATATTCATCACCTCAGTCCCAATTCTATCCTCCAAATAGCCATCTTCATTCATCTGTGTGAGGCATACTACGACATCCCTTCCCACTTTGCGTTTTTCCGTTATCTGTACCAACTCAAACCGCAACCCAACAAGAGGAATCCTATGGTAGTTGGGGAAGTGGCAACTAGACCCGGACCAACAGGATCTGGAATTTTTTGATCTCCCCCTCAGGTCCAGCAACAAAGGTTGGCGATCAAGATGGTTTTAATGCTCCAATCCACTGCCAAGCCTACCTCTATTTACCGATCATGCTCCCGTTGTTAAAGATTGCTAGTACTCCCTCCCCGACGGTGGCGAGATGGATCAAGTCCGAGGGTTGTTGAAGGGAATCAAATATATGATCAACAACGGCTTAACTGGGGTCGCCGTGGCCTGCAACTTTGTCACATGGTGAATCCAACCATTGAAAAGCCACGCTTACCCAACATAGGAATACATTGGTAAGACCGATGAGACCCGGGAGAGGCAACAAATCATCCGCAAGAGCGAGGTCGCTAATAGGATGATTTAAGTTCTTCGAAGCTAGGACTCCGATCACCACGGAGGGATGTCCTCATCCCCTCAAACATGGCATGGAGCGCCCAAAGGTATGCTTTGCTTTAGTTGATCTTTGGTTCACATCTTTTGCTCAAACTGGTGATAGACAATGATCCTTTGCGTTCTTCTCTTTTGCAGGGAGTTGAAGTACTCATCTCCAACCCTCCTCTGCCCAATGCCCGAAGCAAGAGGCGTGTCGACGATCCACTGCCGAGTGGTCGCCCAACTAAGCGCGCTACCACCGATGAGCCTAGGGCCAGCTCATCCAAGAAGCCATCCGGTGGTCCCAAGGTCCACGACCGCCACACGGATCCCGGAGGCCTCCAAGACCTCCGGCAAGGGGAAGGACGTTTTGGTGACCTCTGATCCAAGTTCCCGAAAGAAGAACCCGACGGGCTTAGGGGGTTCACCCGGGACTCCTCAAGCGACGACGAGGACGGCGACTACCGCCTCCAGGGCTGCTAAGGCAGAGGATGCGACTGCAAAGGTAGCCTCCCATGGCCCGACCAGGACCCCGAAGATTGGGGTCCACAAGACCCGTCAATCCACCAGGTGAGTTATGATTGTGATCCTTGTCATTTCTCTGATTGCGGTGGAGATCGATATATATTAATGCTGGTTGATGTTAGGTGAATCGTTGCAGGGTATCAACGCAGGACAACCCAGGTAAGCTTGACTCGACCCAGGGCGCAGACGACGCTTCTGACCAAGCCAAATCGAGGTCGGCTCAACCGGAGACTGGGCCAAGAGCCGAGCCCAGTGCCACTCAAACCTAGCTTGGGGCCGGTCGGGTGGCGGGAGATGCTGAGACGGCGGCGGGCAACTTAGGCTGGCCCAGCGGTGGCGTATCGACAGACGCTGCAGCTGACTCGGCCCGGCCGAGTGGCGGAGATGCAGCGGGAGAGGAGGTAGGTGGTGGTAACGAGTCGACGGGCGCCGCAGCTAACTCGATCCGGCCGAGTAAAGGAGATGTGGCAGGAGCGGAGGTAGGCGCTGGTGACGGGTCGATGAGTGCCGCAGCTGACTCAGCCCAACTGAGTGGTGGAAATGCGGCGGGAGCTGAGGGAGGCGCTGGTGACGGGGTTAGCGGCCAGGGCGATAGTGCCGCCACACCCGGCACATCGACTTTCTCCTCCGCCCAGCCCACAAACTCCACCCAATCGCCGACCTGGGAAAGAACCGACCGGCAGGGAAGGAGAGGCCACCGGGGATGAAGAGGATGCCGAGGAGATCCCGCGGTGTCCACATGCCTTGCCATGGACAAATTATGTCTCCCCCCTTCAGACCTTCTGGTTCCAGGGAGGAAGGGAGAAGGAAGCTCTGAAGGAGGGCTTCGATGATGCAGCTGATAAGGCCTATGCCACTGTTGATGTGAAAACACGGCGGCCTGGGAGATCTGCTTAACTCCAGTGCAGGTCCAAGGCTAGCCTCGAGTGTGTCAAGGGCGTGCCAGCTGATTTGATCCTGCAATCAGTAAGAAAGACAAAAGCAGAATTAGTCAGCCGATAGCCGATCGACCGAAAGGCCGATAGCGTATCGTTGGTGGTCTCAGCCGATGGAGTTAGACCAAATCGGCTATGGACTGATTATATCAAAGAATATTAAATCCTAAATATGCCTAATCGGCTGTAATAATGTCTATCATGTTTAATAAATTGATTCGGAGACAATATTATGAAAAGTAATCGATCTGACAGTATTTAGAGCAAGAAAGATAATATACTAGCTAATACTCTAGTACAAACCTATATAAACAGGTTGATCTATATAAACATGTCAAACAATGATCAAGCATGATAGTGCAAAAATCTAGCCGATACTGACTAAAACTTGATATGCTTATATAAAACAATCTGTCTATATAAGTGGCGAATACACATGAAACGAATAAAGAAGCATGCATATTAGGTAAGATCGGCTGAAACCCCAATACTATCCGTATTATATCTAATTGCAAGCTACTTTGCATGGTTCTAAGCACGACTAGAGATGATGCATCTCAAAGTATGAAAAGGAGCATACAGTCTATACAATCAAGCAATTAAACACTTTTCAAGATGGTAGATGCCTTAGCTAATCTAATCTAGCAAGACAATTTAGCCGAAATCAGCATAAACCCTAAAGCGAGCAGCAGCCGATAGAGCTAAATTGAGAAGCTAAGAATAGATTAACTAAGACATATGATAGCAATGACTCGCGATATCGAGCTTAGCATGTCAAAAGCGACATGTTAGCCCCGATAGCGCGGGCCATTGAGACGGGTTACCTCTTGCAAATAACTCGCTGAAAACGAAGAAAAATAAAAAGGGTGGCAATGCGCCGAAGTTGTATTGGATTGTCTCTCGTATTACAATGCTAGGGGGTTCATATTTATATCCCGAGTACAAACTTAGTCCATTATGGACACGACTCAAAACCTTCTAAAGACAAAACACAAACAAGACCATATACAGCGGTCTCTTGCCAAATCTCTAACAAACCAACATAACTAACCTAATTAATAGATACAATTGCCTTGTTCGAGCTCCGTCTCTAATTGGCAATGACGGTTATTTCAATTTAGGTCCATGTCAAGCCCAAGTTACACCATATCGGCTAAGTCAATCTTCTGTCCGGTTTACAGCCGATACGATACTCAGCCGATGTGTAGTCCGACTTGGAGATCAACTCGATTCCACACCAAATCCGCTTCGACCTTCTCCAAATCTGATGCAAAATTCTGTTGTTAACAGCCACAATCATGTACAAGTCCGGGCTGCTCCTCCTTCAAAAGATGAAGGTTAGGAGCTATGTCCCTTAGCCCCCGACTTCAGGACAGGTGAGTTGTCAGTCATCATGACCTAAATTGTGCATCAGCATGGGTAGCCCCCCGCCAGCATGGTGTGATGTTGATAAATGGCGTGTCGTGCTGGCAATGTCCTTGTGTTTGTTTTGAAGCCGGCTAGCCCCCGACTCCATGCTGGGAAGACTATAGGCGTCGTAGGGGTGGAGTTGACTCGTGTTCTTGATGTGTGATGCAATACATTGTTGAACACTCGGAGGCCAAGAGCGACGGCGAAGTTAGCAAGGCCGAAAGGCAACGGAGAAGTCGTGGCCAGTGATGAAGCACGATGAGTCGCGGTCGGAGGATGTCGACCTTGTTGGCGGTGAAGTCCAGATCTCCAAAGCGGAACTCAGTTCCAGAAGCGAAACTGATCGCTTGGACAAATCCAACGATACTAGGGCTGAACTGTTGAAGTTGGCCGGAGTCATCGGCAATGAAGTCGAAGGCGCTGAAGGAGAAAAGGGTGGCGGTGGGGAAAGCGGTGAGATTCGCAAAGGTGACTCCATAAGATGCCATCTCCTCCTTTAAGAAAAACGATCTAGCGCACCCCTACCTAGCGCGCCAACTCTCGATTTTTATGATCGGCAATGTAATTTATAGTGTGCGCAAGATCAAGGAGATGGTGACACATATTTATACTGGTTCAGGCCCTTGAATAAGGTAAAACCCTAGTCCAGTTAGCATAGATTGGATTTATGTCAAGGTGTGCGCAAATCAGCAATGGTGTGGCTGATGGCGCGTATCAAAGAAAGAGTGTGTAACCCTTTAGGGTTCCTGCTGCCACCCTTTATATAGAGCTAGGGTGGCAAGCGGCGTGCATGGTACAGTATCCCTCATAATCCGGGTACCAACCGCCTAATCATGTGGGATAGGATAGACTTTCTTATCTCTATCCTTTTCTATACATTGAAGATAGCCGCAAGGGCATGGGCCACTCGGCTTACCCTATGCACCCGGTACCATGCACCCCACAACATTCACCTTATATTATTGAATTTTTAACATAAACATAACTGTGCTATTAGCATAACCAAAAGTAGATTATAGTACATCATTAGATTGGAATTTTGACAGAAAAATATTGTTTAAATTTTAACATAACCATAAATGAGACACTACAGATAGATATTATTATAAGGTAAAGAAATAAAATCACAGTACACCATCAGGTAAGAATTTGGTAAAAGAATATCGTTTTTTTAAAGAGATTGCTAAAAAAGGATAGCATATTCAGTACTAATAGTAATAGCAAACTATATGGGTCTGTTCAATCAACTTGAAATCTCTACCAAATTTAAGGTGTTGGACGTCCGTCATTTATTAATCAAGTTTTAACACAAACATAGTGTGCCAGTAGCACGACAAAAATGGGAACAAATGTTTCGGAATGTAAATTACACCAGGTAAAAGATTTAGTAAAAGTACATATCTGTACTATTATAAAAACTGAACATGTTTCCACTGGAATTTTGATACGTCACCTGTGTTTGAGTTGGTTGTACGTTGTCGTATCCAATTCAACGTGACTCTACAATAACTATTATACACCCTCTTCCAACCCAACCCCTCCCAGCCCAACCAAACCAACTCACACCAATCCACCACCCTGTCCCGCGTCCCCCTCTCCTGATCAGCGTCTTTTTCTCTCCATTTTCTTGTTTGTCCTTTCCTTTTCTTCCAATCATCCCGATCCTCTCCCTCTCGTTCTAATCACCTCTCTTTTCTCCTCTTTTCTGTTTTTCTCCTTTTTTTCCTCTTCCAAATTTCGCTCCTCATAAATATTTTTTTCCTTTTGAAATTATCATTGTTTAAGGTATGTATACAGTAAGTTTGTTACTTTGTAAATGCTTTTCATCTACAGTAAAACAAAAAGACTTTCACTAATTGAATAATCAAAATTGAATCTTTTTTTTTCGAACACGCATGAGATGTGCATATCATTTCATTAAGCAAAGAATAAATGTTCGGACTTACAAAAACAAAAACACAAAGAAACACACCCACATTCGCCCCCCTCCTAGGGCACAAGAGCTATTGCCTTGGCTAACAGCTCTTGGAGCCTAGAAGCTCCCGCCATACACCATAGTGTGCCCTCATTAGTGATGGACAGAATCACATCCGCCATGCTAGGAGTAACACCATTGGAAACACAAGCATTTCTGTGTTTCCAGATTGCCCACGTGACCAAGATAATAAGAGAGTTAAGCCCTTTCTTCTCGCTCATTCGCAACCCTTTTACTGCCTTTGACAACCAACACGAAAACTTGCGTGTCATGGTTCGGAAGAGTGGAGAAATAGCCCAGACTTCAAAGAACTAGTGACCACACTTGTCTGTTGAAAACACAAGAAACCAAAGTGTGTTGCATTGTCTCATCCGCTTGATCACAAAAGGGGCAAGCGGCTAGATGAGGCAAGTCACGCTTGGCAAGACAATAAGTCATCCAACAATGGTTGTGTATCCGTCAGCCACAGAAAAAAAACCTACATTTAAGAGGTGCCCAATTCTTCCATATCATTTTCCAAGGAGCAAACCTGACCGTCTGGGATAAAGAAGGTCCCATGTGCGGATTTGGAAGTGTAAACCCCTGACTTTGAGAACTTCCAATAGTGCTGGTCTGAAACGCCTATTTCAATCTTTGGTTGATGAGGTATAGCAAAATACCCATACATCAACTTACGGCATAGCCACCCGATCGATTTGTAAGGCTATGGAATGGTGTATATAAAGGATTCTTCATGTGATGATGCATGAAGCGAGCGCGACCAGATTCAATGCCATTGTTACGTTTGTTTTTTTTTATTTGCTGTTAAATTGGTATAGTTTTTAAAATTGTCTTCACATGTTGCATCGCACATGCATTTTTGCTAGTCATTAAAAAAAGTTAAAGACAATGTTCAGTTAGCAAATAATAACATCCAAAAAGGATATCAGCCATATCACGGAAATCCCAATAAAATGATGAAAGCATGAACTTACAAGATCTGCTCCTTCATAGGGTACTGTAATTTCTTCGAGTTTCACAGATGCACCGTTCAACCAAGTACTAATGGAGTCTTTGTCACCCAAGATTACTGGCATTCTATCTGTTAAGTCACATGCAGACTCAGAAGGTGCCAAATCAAATCAAAAGGTAGCAAGTCATAAAAACATTGTGTGCAACAGTATAATAAGTACTCGTATATCAAGACCTGATAGACTTGGCAAAAACATTTTTCATACATCCATTACCAGAAAAAGGTATAATCTGTTTTCTCAATTAAATTGAACTACAAGGACAACTTATCATATAAAGTAAAATACAGATGCATCAGTACTGTTAAAGGCAATATTGTACTATCATCAATGATATATACTATCTTTTAATTGAAAATCAACTGGCTTTCTCCTTGCCTGCCTCTAAATAAGATATTGTAAAGTGAAAATTAATAGGAACAGTGCATTAACAAGCTAAACATTACAAACTTCCAGTAATGTCACTAGCTACGAAGACCAGAGTAGGTGTGTACAAATAAATGTCAGCTTGATATAGTGTAAAATAACAGGGTTTTGTTATTAACCCTACTAACCATGAAGCCAATTCAAAAGCAGCCTTATCACACATGTATCGAAATAGTAAATATATGAATAATCTGAGATCATGGGGGGTAGAGAGTATCTAGCTAACCATGAAGCCATTTTAGAGAAATCGAGGCCCGAGTAGTCAAAATAGTAAAAGTATGGATGGTTTCTCCTGGGGAAATAGCAGATAATATTAATACTCAAACAAGTAAATTATCATTTTACCGATTGGAGCAACAAAAGTCTAAAGTGGCATAATCAATTAATCCGAACATGTGATAAACTGACGTATGTGAACAGCAGAAAGTGTTTTGAAATATGCATCAATAATTCAGCTCAATAAAAAATGCATTAATAAAATGGTTCCTTAAAATGTAGACAAAAGGATAGCAGATAAGAGTTGGTAGTGTGAGTGCATGCTAGACAATTTATATACTAAATCTGTCAATATTTGTAGAGCAAAACGTCGTATTATTTTTACAATCAAAAAGCCAAACACCAAACATGTAGTTCTGGGACATTGTACAGTGGAACTCGTATCTGAAAGCTTTTCCCTATCATAATGATATGCATATTGTACTATTCAGAATGCAGTTCTTCTATGTAATTAATAATGTTAGGCATTTAATGCGCAGCGCAGCGCAGCGCATGGCATAAATTAGATTTAAAAAATGTGAAACACTTGATGACAGCACTACTTCAAGTTCAGTACATGCCTGCAAATGTTCATTATCACAGTTCATCCATATTTGCAATTTTGATCACAAGACAACATGAACTTGTCGCACCGCTTATGATAAGACATGATCTAGATATAAAGCAGGATGTGGATATAATATGTTTACAACTATGTGCAGACAGAGCAGGCACAAAGCAAAACTGAGCAACCATGTTAGATCTTTACAAACATGGCGTTAAACCAGTACAAAAATATATCATACTACAACTTGTTTCATTTACAATGTCATATATGCAGATAAAACCTTTTAGGAAGCTAAATAAGACCAATTAGTAATTACAACCACAGATGTTGGAATAAATAAGCTGCAGCATTAACAGGACAACATATCTTTTGCAGCAACTCCCAAGACTACTTTAAGAAAATGTGATTACACTGAAACACATTCTTAGTACCATAATCATGGCTTCCAAAGACTAGAAAGTTAATTGACAAATGTGCATGCTAACCTTCCGAGTTTGTCCAAGTGTCAAAGAGGGCAGCAAAGACAAGAGGCCTCTGATCTTGGAAATGAATGTAATACGGCATCTTCTTTGGCCCATCCTTTTTCCATTCGTAGAAACTGAGCTCATATAAAATATTAATGCATGATTAATACAAAAATATGGTCAGCTTATTGTCTCTCTAAATGGACTTTTCAACAAAGACATTATGCTACAAATAAGAACCTAAATATTTTTTATCTACCAAATTGTGCTGCACAAGGATAAAACAACTTGAATGTGATACACTAACAACTAATTGAGTCCTAGATTGAATTTTGTCTATTTTAACCAGTTCAACTCAGATTGGTCAGGGCAAAATCAAGCCCCAGTGTCACATGTGAGGATTAAGAAGGGTAGCTGGAGTTTTTCCTCGGAAACGCAGGACTGTACTTCATTTCATTAAGAAAATAAACCAAATACAAAAGGAGGGATCAAAACTGATCCACCACTAAGAACACACCTCACATACTCATCACTTAAAGGTGATGCATAACCACAAACGAAAAAGGAAGGACTAGCCATCCGGGGTAAACAACCTACAAAGAAACACATGTAGGCACAGGCTACTACTATCATTTTCCGCTGTCTTTAAAAGCACCAAAACGTTTGTTGTGGCACCACTGAAAACACAGTCGTTGCCGTGCTTCCAAATCACCCAAGCTGCTAGGATAATCCCGATAACTTTGCCACCACCATCCTGGAAAATGGGCTGCCGACAGTTCAGGTGCAGGACCAGCCAGCCCCAACTTTAGAGAGTAGTAAAGTCCAAACATGGCCAGAGAAAACACGAGATACAAGGATATGGTGAACAGTTTCGCCGCTTTGATCATATAAAGGGCAGGCAGCAGGATGTGGTAGACCCTGATTAAAAGCAAGTTGATCTGAAGTCCAACATCTGCTGTTAATAGCCAACCAAATGAAAATTTTGCAGCATAAAGGAACCCAACTAGTCCATATTCGCTTCCATGGAGCAAACTTGATGGATCCCAGGAAATAAGCATTGTAGGTTGACTTGCTAGTGTAGGAGCAGGACCCTGTAAGCTTCCAAATGTGTTAGTCCTGAACCCCCTGCTGCAAGACCGCCCCCTCAACCAAGTCCCAAATCAACAGAGAACTTGAACAGTGAAGCCACCTTTTATATTTCTCACCCACCTTTTGTTCTCCAATGCCTGCACCACAGTGCGCTGCTTACTTGACCTTTGAGTGATTAATTCAAAAAGATTGGGGGCCAGTTCAGCTATTGTTCTTCCTGGCAGCCATCTATCATGCCAGAGCATGGTGTTCCCCCTTTTACCAATTATAGTTTTCACAGCCACTCCAAACAAAGAGTGAACATTGTGAGGTACTTGTATAGGAAAACCAAAACAAGCCCAAGGTCTAGAAGAGTCAGGTGTTTGAAGCCACAACCACCTCATGAGTAAGGCCCATCCCATCTTTTCCAGATTATGAATGCAAGTCCCCATAAGGGAGAGGTCAGCAAACGCAATCCCAAGAAACAAGGAAATTAGCACCATTAGCCCTCTCCTGACCCTTCCAAAGAAAACCTCTGTACCTTTTGTCAGTAGCCTTGATCACCCATTTGGGTAGCTGGGTTAGGGATTGAAGAAATAGTAGATTAGATGTGAACAGCAAGAATACAGAAGAGGGCTTTGGAGGGAGAATAGGAGACAACATGAAGGAGAGAGGTAATTTTTTAACTCTTTGCTTAATCCCCAATGATGATGCCAATGCCCTACTGATCTAACCAACTAATGAGTAATGATATGATACAAAAGCTAACTAGGAATAATAATCAACTAAACTAACAAATGATATCAGATAATCCAACGCCTTGCTGCTCCAGTGTTTCATTGGGCCAAAGGACCTACTAGCAGCCCGCATGTCGTATGGCCATGACACCTAGGACTGTAGGTGCTTTTCACATAACCAGTAATCCAAGTAGAACAGCTTATTTAGCAGTGTTATACGTCTTTGATATGATTCTAGCTGTATACATATAAGACCAACAAATGTACTCAGAGCAAAGGCTTTTGGAGCCAATCTATGATGATAATTTTGGGAGTCTTGATATATTCGCGAGTTGTCTCATGCTCTCAGTGAAGGTGTATAATTGAGTACTTGGTGATTCACCTTTGGCCAAAGGTTTTACTAGAATAGATCACAAGCAACAATTAGTGGTTTCCCTATAGATTTGCTCAATCAAAATAACTAGTTATCTCAATTCCTGAGATGAAAAACAGGTAACCCCCAGATTCGGTACAATGTATTTAACATGTCATGCAATCTATGCCCCCATGATTTATATTCAATAAATATAATTAAGATACCTCATAGTTTGGAATGAGGAAAATCAAGCACATCTAAACCTACAGTCCTATGTCAAATCCTACAATTGGCATGTCACTCATCGATTAGCACCACTATATGACAGAAGGATGGAGCGAGACACGGAAAGCAAGAAGAGCAGGACAGAAGTTATATCAAACTACTATAAATCCAGATGTCAAATTTTACATCCAGGTGCAAATCATTCTGTAGCCTTTTAGCCTCTATCAATGCAAGCAAATATTGAGCAAGTACATGCATACTGTACCAACTTCAAGGGGTAAATCAGAGCATGCTCATGCAAAACTTTAACAAAGCATATGATAGTTGGAAGTTCCAAATAAAAGGAGACAACTATTTTGTGCATACCCTTCTACTGCCACAAGACACCTATTATTTGGGATAAGTCGCCGAAAGGAAGCCTTTTCCTTTATAGACTCTGACCGTGCATTGAACTGCACAATAAAATATTTCAGTGATTAAATCAATTTAAAGAAGCACAGTAATGGGACATAATAAAATGTAAATCAAGCTCTATAGCAGGCAGTCCAATGCATAAGCAATGTGGAGTAAGACATCAGTTTTAGAGGAGTCAAATAAAGAAATGAATAATTTTAGCTATAAAATGAAGCAGCTAAGCTAGCGTACATAGGAACAGATTCCCATTCTGATGTCCATAGAACATATTTTTAAGAGAACATTCCAAATAAATGCTAGAATTTGAAAGATGATAGACAAATAAGCACACAGAAAAATCAAGAATATAAAATATATACTAGGATGACAGCACAAATATTTCATGTTTTGGAAAAAAATTGCAAAGCATTACACTGTGTTCAATACTCCCTCCGTCCCAAAATATAGTCGCTTCTAGCGTTTAAATGTGGTCCCATCATATAGCTACTTCTCTACCTACTCCATTTCAACCAATCCCAGCCATCTCCCATTTAATTTCTCCACCTACTCCCTCATCTCAACCAATCACAACCATCCCCTGTTTAATTTCACCTCTCTCCTTAATCTCTGTGAAAAACTCTAGAAGTGCTTATATTTTGGGATAGATGGAGTAGCTTTGAGTGTACTAACAACCTGTCCTTTCAAATGGGGCATTATTACCATAAATGTGACACTGAAAACCAACATCACAATTGCAGAAGCCGTCCAAATTGCCTAATTGGAGTAAACGTAGTAATCAAACAGGAATCAACTAACTTGGATGGTTAAAATTTGCAGCTCCCCCCTGCCACTCATCGCCGGCCCGCCACGGTGGCAGGGGGACGGCGCCAGAGATGTTGGCGCCGTCCCGTTGGACCACGGAGCTAGCGACTCTGGCGTCCCAAAAAAGACCATTTCTGGGATAAGTTTTCCAGGGGTCTATTTGCAAAATAAGTTTTTCAAAAGGACCAAGTTGTGAAAAATCCAGAGGGCGAGAAGGGGCCACCTGCAAAATTAACACGGCATACCCCTCGCCCACCCTATGCCACATCACATAGCCCACCCTACCATAGGGCGATTTATATGCCCCGCCCTACGTTGCGGTGTGGAGGAGTATATTTTTGCAAAAATTTGAAATAGTAGTTTGTTTATGTAAATCATTAAAGAAATAAATATAAAAAAAATTTCCACGTCCACGCGCCTGTTCATATTCTATTTTCTTCCCTTGTTGCTCCTGTTACTTTCCTTATGCAATGGTCCTGACGCCATCTAACAAGACAACTATAACCCATTGTTAGATGTAGATCAGTGCTAAGATCTACAGGATGTTCCCGAGGTCGCTTTCCTTGCTGGCCACGTCGTACTATCCTCCAGGTTCCAGCCTCTTCTCCCTATGGCCTTTATCCACAACTGGGGAAACAATAGCTAGGCAAGGCTTTGGCATCCAATTTCCTGTATTCTCCCTAATTATTTTGACAAATAATTTATTACAAGGACATTCCTGCATTTGAAAAATATTCTCATGTGCGGGATTCTGTTCCACAGGCATTGTGATGGAGCCGAACGGCGGGGCATGAACACAGGACAGAGCGCGTGCAACAATGGACAGAGCACGTGCAGCAACGTCTAGAACACGGAAGACTCAGCATTGTTTAAAGATGAAGTTTAAATGTGTTACCTTTATCCTCATTCTTAGAGATAAGTTGTTAGGAAGAGTTTGTTACAAGATTTGTTAGATTGGGTCTTATTTAAGCTTGTAATTCGTTCATTGTGATCAATGAAGAAGAATTAATCTAAACCCTCTCCCTCTGTCGTTTCTTCTGTCCCACGGTGTGCCCTTCTGCCTGTGCACTTCTTTCTTACTTTGTTCAATCTTAATGTCGCCGTGCCTCGCTGCCATGGGGACTGCGGCCTAGGGCGCCAGTCAACCACAACTACAACCTCCGATCACTGTCAGGGCATGCAGATATGTTCTGAATTGTTTTATTGTAGTTGATATATGACTAGATTTTATTGTTAGGGTTTAGAGTAAATTTATATACATATATTCTACCATTTTGATGCTAAATACTGCACAATACCTATATTTTTTTTTAGTTTGACTACATGGCTGTAAATAATAGGTGAATTTAATTATGGAGAAAATTCTTAAAAAAAAAGCAGCAGATAGCACCAACAAGATTGGGGTTTATCGTTCTACGAATATGAAGGAGCATAAATATGAAAAAGTAATGTACTCCTTCCATTCCATTTTAAGCGTAGCCATGAATTTCTGTGTCCAAATTTAATAATCCGTCTTATTTAAAAATATTTTTAAAAAAATAAAAATATAAGTCACTCATAAAGTACAATTCATGTTTTATCATCTAATACAATAAAAATACTAATCATAAAAAAATTCAAATAAGACGGACAATCAAAGTTGGACACGGAAACTCATGGTTGCGCTTAAAATGGGACAGATGGGACAGATGGAGTATGTATTTACACATAAGTACATGTATACCAGAAAGGAAATGGCATTCTTTATGTGGAGTGGCTTTTCCTAGAGGCTTATCTTCTTCGAAACTCAAACTTTTGGTTTTTGAAAAGAAACAAGAAAAATAAATGAGAAGCTGATAAAAAAATATGGATCAAAGAAAAGCTAATGCCTCCATCTACCAAAGCTTAATTGGAAGCCTCCATCCATTGCCATTGATGCGGTCCTGCTGGCAAGGCAGGAGATGCCAACAAGGAGTGAGCCAAAGCTCAGTTCAGGCAACAATCCAAAGGGAGCAGGAAGCACACGCTCAGCCGACAGCGGACAAGGACGTAGCTGTCTCTGGCAGGGCAGCCCTAAAGGCGGCAGATCCAGCAGCAGCTTGGTCGACTTCAAATCAAAACATTGCATGAATAACAACGTGCCTTGGATAGTGCAAACAACTTGACAAGACTGTTGGACTTTTAAGACGTCCACGCCGCTCCAACTAGTTAACCTTAGTTGCCAAATACCTAATTGTCTAAGCTTGAGTTCATCTCACTTTCTTATAAGAAAATGACTTTTAAGAAAGATATTGACAATTTGGAATTGTAGTTGTACAAATCAAACATCTCATCCCACGTTAAAGAAATAGAGATGGTGTTAAATGATAAACACCCAACCAATTAGTCAAAACATAGTCATCAAATGTGGATCAATCGGTCTGTTGTTTGTGGTTTATCTAGCTGTTACATAGGCAATCAACCCACTACAATAAACTGTAATCAGCAATCATAACTTCTCAAGACTCAAAAAAAGCTATTCAAGGGATAAGAACAAGATTGTATAGAAAGAACAACCAGTCCATACCATCCTGAAATGATCGGGCTTCTCGTTCTTGCCGGTGAAGCTGGGCACAAGCCCCCACTTCATGCACTGGATTACCGACACCTCCCCGTCCATGTCCCCTCCACCATCATACCCCGCCGGCCGCGCCCGAACGGTGCCCACCGGCAGGTATGTCCCTGGCGACACATTGTATGATGGCCGATACCTGCATCTCACAACCAGAATCTCATGATTGGCAAAATACAGCTGAGCAGGATGACCCCATACCTCAAAACTCCCTTCCTACCGGTCCATCCGGAGCAACGGCACAGCGGGTGCGTCACCTCCTCCGCAGCCGCCCCCAGTCCCACCGCCCGCGACAGAGGTCGTGGTCGGGAAGCCGAAAGCCCTAGCGGCCTGGGACGGGCTAAGGGTGCAGCGAGCCCTGCCGCACATCTCGTACTCTGCCCGGGCACATGTTAATTAAGATTAGCTTTGCATTTGAAATGTAATGGTTGAAGGAATGGAATCGAACGATGATTACCCTGGGCAAACCTGAGAAGAACAGTGTAAAATGGTCAGAGCATCGCATCATCCTGAACATAATGCCATTTTCTTCCCATCCCTATATACATCAAGAGCAAGCAAATTGTTCTCAATTCTAACAAGAACACTCCAAGTGAGATAATTATTCAGTCCGGAAAGATTAATTCAGATGAACAACTATAACCCAGAAGAACTATTGATTCTCTATACAATTTTCAGAGAACCAATATGAGATCATTCTTTTTTTTTTGGCAACTTGGAAGTGTAAAGCATAAACATGTACGCGGGCAGTCAGATAGTGTGACCAGTGACCTAACCAAAGCTGCTACTATCTTTTTTCATAAATCATTGTTATATAGAAAATAGTACTGATTGGTAAAGCTCCCACTGTAATTCACCAACACAGAGAAAACCGGATGTTTTATGGCTTAATCAACACTATGTCATGTTGGCAAGCCATAATAATGAATAAAATGTTAGCACGTGCATGTTACTAACGTTACGCAGATGACTGTATCTCAATTTCCCCTCTGAAATTAACATCACACGAGATCAATCAATCCATCAATCCGGGGAGGGGTCTCCTAAACCTGATTTCAATCTAGAGTATAATCTATCGGCTAATTTACTATTGAACATCTCCAAGAATCAGTATCTCACGGTTCTTAGAAAAGATGGAAAATTTATAATCAGAACATGATTTCTTGCAGGTCAGTAACAAGGGAGAGAAAAGTGTTCTTTTTTTCGAATCAAGATCCAAACTTCCGCTGTGGAATAGAAAGCTTACCTCTTTTCTCTCATCAGGATGTGAAGGAGCAACCGGGCGCACGGAGGGGAGGCCACGACGGGCGGCGGCGGCGGCGGCGACGGCAATGGTGGTGCTTGCGAAGGGCGTGACGGAGATTAGGGCGCGGGGTGGAGCGAGCGCGCAGGTAGTGAGAGAGAGAGAGGAGGGAGGCGGCGGCGTCGGGGTGAGTGCGAGAGAGGATGGAGGGAATAGCGAGCAAGAGAGAGAGAGAGGAGGGCGGCAGAGGCGTTTGCGTCTGCGTGAAGGTATGGGTGCGGCCGTGCGGGGAGGCGAGTCTGAGGGAAACGTGGACCGATCTGAGCCATTGGATCGGATGATTCTGGACCATCAGATTTGATGAATGAGGTTCGTAGGAGTGTAAGGTCCCGTTCTTTTCTCCAATATAAGAGTTGGATAAAAATAAAAATTAAGATTTTCATGTTACGCTTTTCAAACTGCTAAATGGTGTGTTTCGTGGGAAAAAGTCGCTCTAAAATATCATATTAATCTATTTTTTAAGCTTGTAATAATTAAAACTCAATCAATCATACGTTAATACCACCTCGTTTTGCGTAAAAAATTTAATCTTCATCTTTATCTTCAGGAGAAAAGAACACCACCTAATTGGTGAATTATAGGGTAGAAGATAGAAGAATAATAATATGTACAAATAAGATGTAATTTGATTATGAAAACTAAAATAATTTGATATAATTTTGAGCCTAAAAATAATTAAGATTGCATATTTTTAAGAGAGAAGAAAGAAGAGACAATTTGTGATGTGACCATGTCTACTACAGATACAACCATTTCTCACATCATGGATGAACAAGAAGATATCAAGATCAAGTCCTCCAAGTGCTGAAATCCGATTCGGCCACCTACTACACTGCTGACTTCAAACGGCCGCCGAATCTGCATACGACCTCCGTTTTCAGCCCATGAGTACTTGATGGAAGGCTCTCGGAACCCTCTTTCCAACAGATCTAGCCTCGCCGCCAAATTCCATGTCGTTTGGCCGCAATCACATAAACAAGATGTTGCATCACCTGGCTTGGGACCCCGGCCCAAGTGGGTCCCATGTGGGGTGCACCCTAACCAGGTGGAGAACGACCCTTGGCACCCCTTGGTCATCCTCCCTGTAGGATCGAATCACAAGAACTAAGCCAACCAAACGGGGGTGAATGGTTGGTATGCCCAAAAACCGAAACTTTTAGCGGAAATAAAAGTTACCCTCAAATTCGACGGAGATCGGTCTGATCGAAGTTGTCCTGCCGGTCTGACCACGCCTGTGCCGTCGGTCTGACCGGTGTAGATCGATCGGTCTGACCGCCCTGAGATCGCCTGCCGCACCTATCAATGTTGCCGGTCTAACCGCCTTGCGCCCGCCAGTCTGACCGCCGCGATGCTGCCGGTCTGACCGCCGGTGAGTCACCGGTTAGACCGTCGAAACCCGGTGAAACACAAATCAAAGAACTCTAAAAGTGAATGACGACTTTATTGATTCTCTCTGTGTTTACAAAATGCACCAACAGCACTCCTTACAAAAATCTCGACTAAACTCGAAACCCTAACTCAACTATCAACTCAATTGCTCTCAAAAGCAATACCGGGAAGCCTAACGCTCCCCCTCTATTTATACCCGAGGTAGGCAGGCTAAAGCCACGAACCAAACACATACTAGAAGTCCTAAACACCTTAGGAAACTCTCTAGTACAAGAAACAAACTTTACATAACCACTCATACCAAATTTGGACTCATTCCAAATTCGACTCCGCATCCCATACGCACACAATACCTCCATCGTATACCACGTGCATCAACTCTAGCCTAAGTATCCCGCATGATCTCTGACCACCACGGACGTCGTCTTATCCCCAAGCCGACTCACGGTCCATCACCGCAAATACTCTCCCGAGGCATCGAGTCACCTACACATGAAATAAACAAAGAAACCATATTCCGAGACCAAGCTATCTCCAACTTGACTCATTGTTAGTAAACAATAGTATTACATACGTATAGTATCCATCTAGAAGCCATAATCATGAAACAATCACGGATATCCAAACAAACAACCTAAAACCGAAACCAACACAAAGTCGGCCGGTTAGACCGCGGGCTACGCTAGTCTGACCACGCATATACCACCGGTCTGACCGACAGCACCGGCCCGGTCTGACCGGTCCAGACAAAAACAGCAGTACCTGAAACACCTGCAAATCCAATCATCTCCAAAACCACTTCGTAAATAAATTCCAAATATCAAAACCAATAATCTCCAATGCCAATTGTTCATCACATAATAATAATAATCAAAAACACCTTTGATTTTACATTCCCACCCCTATAATTAGTTAGGTACCCCCTCAGGGTTTCTTGGGTTGTTTAGATGAAAGTTTAGCCATTGCTACTTCCTTGCAGCTCGCGTGTCGGCTAGACCGTCCGTCTGCTTGTATTCGAAACCCTAACTTATCGTGTGTATTCATTCCTATTTGTAATTCAGATTTATTTTATCTTGTTCTTACTTGTTTCTTCGATTTGCTTGCCGGAATAAGGTTGATCTGCACCGGCAAGATCAACAACCCACGAAGAGTTGCGTCGATCGCAAAGGCGCAACACAACGTCTTGTACGGTTGTAGTTGGGTCGTCAACATTTCTCCCAAATCGTAGTTATCATTAACTCACCAAAAGATCAGGCCAAACAACTGCCTTGAGTGTCGATTGGAACCCAGGGTTCATCAATTTGGACAATAGATCTATCATCCGAAGGTTAGAAATAATTGGAGTGATGTGGTTTAATGAGAGAAGAAAGAAATAGCATTAACTACAATTAGTGGGGATGAGCTATATGTGAGGGGAGATTACCGATAAGGAAGAAATACAGATATGGAAAGCGTCCACACAAATCAATTATATCCTAATATAACTCTTCTGGAGATTATAGGTACCACGTACTCACGCTGTTGGGCTATCCGATTGGTTAAAGGGGTAACTCATATAGATAGAATATGTATAGGATAAGATTCAGGTGTTATATTACTTGTGTATTAAGCAATATCACGTAGTCTTAGTCGGCTACAATTGTAAAGTAGTTATAGAGCTTTAAACCATAAGGGATAAAGTCTCTACATTGTAATCATGCTTTCTTTGACTATATAAGGAGGGTAGGGGACCCCTTGTGGGCAGAATCACACCCAAGATCGTCATATCAATAACACAATCGGCGGAATATTTCTCCGGACATAAGTAGGGTATTACTTCTCATTGAGAAGGCCTGAACCTGTATAAATCCTTCGTCTTATAACCCATCCACTTTCCTAGCTTGTTCGCTACCCACTTTTAGTATTGCCAAAATCTAGTTTTGACAGTTGGCGTGCCAGGTAGGGAAGCGTCAAGTTTCTCGCCAACTAGTGCGATGGGATCTACATCAGGCATCGACGACTTCGTCTTCCCTCCAGGGCAGACGTTCCGTTTCGGCAGCCTCGACTTCATCACCGACATCCTCGGCAAGATTTCTCTTCACGACTCGGGATCGAATCAGTTGGGAAGAGATGGCATCTACCCCGTTCGACTTACCGAACTTGGCCAAGATCTACCCCAAGACTTTTCTCCGTGGGACGGCTTCAAACCACTCAGGAGAGACCACCAAGATCTCATCTCCTTCGTCAAGTTCTGCTCAAGATAAGCCGACGTATCCACCAATCACCATGTGGCTTCTGGACGACCTCCCCACTGTATTCGGATAAAGGTAGCCTTCCCCCTAGGTCGACCCAATTTGGCTTTCGGCCAAGATCGTATCTAGCTTCAGGGAGGTCGGCGTTATCCTTCAACCACTCGGATCTTGCTCATCCATAGAAATTGCTAGCTATTTCAGCTCTTCCACCAACAGCTCCCATGCGACACTAAGATCATCGACTACGACGACTTCAACGACGACTACGACTTCGATAATTTTGCCGGCTTTGATGATTATTATAACGACTTCGATGATGACTATGCTCTACTCTACTTCGGCGTCTTTATGGCCGAAACGAGACGGATGGACAGAGGGTTGGACAACTCGTGGACGAGGAACGAGCAAGATTGGAGCAGGAGCGCCGGGAGCAAGAATGACTCAGATTGGAGCGAGAACACCAGGAGCAAGACCGACTAAGATCGGCATGTGAACGGCAAGAGCAAGAACGCTGCATGAAGGAAGACGGAGGGCCCTGGCCGAATCCAGACGCCGTGCCCGACAGCTGATTGGCCAGACAGTCATTGATGACACCAACGTGTTCCTTACCCAGCAGCAGAAATGTAGTTGGAGCAATTACTCTTCTTGATACCATCATCCCCAATACCCTAGATCATGTGACACCAACGCTCGACAGGATGAAGACCATGATCGCCGCCACAATTCCGTACAACTTGGGAGACAGTCGACAGCCCACCGCTTCGACGTATACACCTTCGGGAAGCCGACTACCATCTCTCAGGTAAAGGGATTATCGTGAGCCCGAACGCAGCAGGACCAATTCTCGCATGCCTCATGCGGGCAGGGAACACCGGGAGCAGTTGGTTCACTCACCAGCTGTCGGACACAGAGGTCATCGTGCAGATGCGGAGTACCAGAACTCCTCTCGAGCACTTGTCGATCTTAGGGAGACCTTGAACGCACGCCGCGGAGAGAGAAATGATCGAAGACACCAACACTCTCATGCTTTTACAAACGACCTATGTCGAGTGAATTGGCCGGCTGGTTTCAAGCTGACTGGTATCGAGAAGTATGACAGTAAGACTGACCCCGAATCATGGCTCACCATCTACACACTCGCAAATCGCGTAGTAGGAGGAGACAGCAAAGCTATTGTGAATTATCTGACCATAGCGTTAGCTGACTTGGCCAGGAACTAGCTCACCGAGTTACCGTGAGGCACAATTGGTTCTTGGAGCGAGCTCCGCGACCACTTCATTGCTAATTTTCAGGGGACCTTCGAACAACTAGGAACCCACTTCGAGCTTTACAGCGTGATTCAAAAACCTGATGAACCCTTAAGGGATTGCAGTCGGCATTTTTCTGAAAAGCGTAACAAGATTTCTGATATAAACGATGACAACATCGTTGCTGCATTCACCAAAGGAGTTCGCAATGAGCTACTCATTGGCAAGTTTGGACGCAAGCCTCCTAGAACGCTCAATAATTGATACCGACTAGAGAGCACCAATAATTAAGTTTTTGAAGCAACAAGAGTTAGTGTCAAGCCCAGAAATTTAGT